GAGAACGTCGTATTAAAAGTTGATCAAATGAGAAGTTAGAAAACCACCTTGCAAAAAAACTGGATTTTTCATCTAAAACAAACGAAAGAACCTTTATATAGCCGCAAATTTTGCTCTTGTGTTATTGATTTATATCATATGTTTTGTGTCATCTCTCCACATTTCAACATAGCATCATATTTACTGGAAATCAAACGCACAATTAACAAATAACAAATGACACATTATTTAATTATATAGCATATATGTTCACATATTCAAATAACGTACTATCATGCGTATGATTTTCTTTCTTAATTAAGCTAACTACATTTCAAAAAAGCATGCCATTGCTATATATAGACATCATACACACGCAAAAAACAAATAACATGTTATTAAAACATAGCATACTATATATAGACATCACACACGCAATAAACAAATAACATGTTAGTAAAACATAAAATATGTCACCCGTTTTATGCGTATGCATGTTATTTCTCACTATGACATGATATGCATTGACACCAAAGAAGTGTATCGCCCATGAGTTCTCATTTTTACACATTCTCCTCCCACTTTTATTTTCCTAGTTTTCAAAAGTTTCTTCCTCATATTCGCAAATCACTCGATTAGGAGGTTTGATACACCCTAGGCCTAGTTATGGTGGTCGGTAGAACTAATCTGAACGCTTTTTAATGTTTTCTTCGCCACCAAAAAAAAAAATCGACAATCCAAAAATCGGTTATATAATTACATAGTTGAATACGATAGATAACGAGATCATATATAATTATAAAAAAGCAAAGCATAGGCCATGGGCTAAAGAACCTAGCATGTATTGTACTTTCGGGGACAAGCCATAGTGGAAGATGATCCATCATACGCATGAAAACCCCTGTTCCGCTTGATTTGAAAGTTTGATATTCATTTCTACTCTCATGTTCATTTTTTTTGTAATATCAACAACCTTTTCCTATACCAACCTTCTCTTTAATCGGTGCTTACCCCCTAAATATCTAAAGGAAAATGATAGAATAATCATGAAAAATTAGTACGTATTTTTAATCTATATATTTAGGTAAATACTCTAATAAATGATAGAAGGAATTAGCCATTTTTTAAAAATAAGCATATGAATTACCATAAAAGCAAAGTAGCAAACTGAACCGAAAGTCATCGCTCTGAGCCAACAGAACGATGTAAAAAATTCAACATAGAATTATCTGAACTGAATCCGAATTGTACTAGGTTTTGTGCAACCGAAGGAATTAGCCAGACAAATCAAATTCATTAAACTACATATATAGGGAGAAAAAAATATATAATAAAAACCTACAACTTTTTTTTGTGAAACCAATATTGCTAAAAATCTACATTTTTTTGAATAATTGTTTTTCCAAAACCGAACCGAACCAAACTGAAATAAAATTTGTTTTAGTTTGGAGTCTATTTTTCAAAACCCGAAAATCCAAGACCTTAAAAAATTTGAACCAAATGCCCATGCCTACTCACTTTTTATTATCATGTTTTTTATTTGTTGGCTCTAAGGCCTCGCTTGCCTCCAATACATCTCTTAACGCTCGTCTTGAATTCAAAATTCTGATATGCATATTTAGATCCGAGGGATCTTCGCACACCTTGGTCGTGAAAAATATGATCTAAATAAATGCATGGGCCATGTATACAATACAGAGCAGACATGCAAAGTTGGAAACATATGGAAGTATGAATCACCTGGATTACATTATATACTCAGACATCATAAAACATCATCATTTCCCTTTTTGAAGTAAAATTTTCCCCACATTTAAGATTTCATTTAAGACAATGCTAATCGATGCTACCTGTCTTTTTATTTTCTTTATAAATACCTAAAATCTCATTCTTCTTGTTTCCACCTTATGTTCTCCGATCCTATCTAATACATATATATTTGATCTTTGTTTTGTTTCACATATTCTTATATTTTATCTACTTGTCCCCGAGTCATGGGAATGTCGAACAGGTCAGTTTCTACGTCTCTTTTTTTCCTTGCATTGGTGGTTTTGCATGGAATTCAAGACACAGAAGAGAGACATTTGAAAACTACTTCGTTAGAGATTGAGGGAATTTATAAGAAAACTAAGACCGAGACTCCTAGCATTGTGGTCACATATACACGACGTAGTGTCCTTCAAAAGGCGGTCATCGCACACCCCACAGATTTTAGGCCAACAAATCCTGGAAACAGCCCTGGCGTTGGACACTCTCACGGGCGACATTGATTTGATCATACCATACGTCATAATCTATATCATATAGAAAATTATATGTATTTTCATTTAGACTTGTCTTCTAATGCTAAAGGGGTGTTTGGACATCACTTTATCATTTCAATGTTTTGACAGTACTATGATCATTATGTCTTTGTCGTGGGTTTGTTACACTGTCAGGTATTGTAAGATTATATAATGAATAAATTGCTTTTAAAAATCGATACATAAATGATAAATCCCTTGCTAAGCTGACTATAATGGTCAGGGATTTCATTAAATCGTTAATTTATTTCTAAATATGAATGCTTAGAAGATACAGAATAACAAAGTAAGAAATATAGAAAAGCTTATATGCTCTCATTGAGATGAAGCCTCACACTTAATTAGTTCCCAATCTCAGTCTTTTAGGCCCCTCTTTTTCTCTTCTTCTCACTTTACCATTTTTTTAATATCTTTTCTCTTTTTTATTCTAGCCTTCCAAGTTCCAAATATAAGGTTTTCTTTCAAAGGCCTACTCTTTTATGTATTTATTTTGTTGATTAATTTATGAATAGCATTTAGAGAAAAAAAAGACTAATAATTAATTGGTTCATGATAGAACTATATATTAAGTCTCATATCTACCATCGGCGAGGAACTCACATACGGGAAAGGTTGACACTAACTATATAGCCTGACAAATTTATACTAACTTTCAAGAGGTATGAATATTCGAACATGTGTATTGGTTGCGGCTGGCTGGCTGGCTGGCTAGTGTCTAGTGCCTAGTGGCTAATGGATAGTGCCTACTGGCTACGGAGCTGCATATTCTTTTTCATTTTCTTTTTAATATGGATGCGATTATTGTGAATGTTACATAAGAATGAATGGTTTTGTTTTACCAAAAATCTTTAGAGGCATTTTAGTTTCACTGCCAAAAATAACATAATAAAGTGCAACTACGTCGAGTGAGATTTATTTTAAGTTTGAAGATGGATATTTTAGAATCTATGGTTGATACACGATTTTGAGATTTTTAAATCAAACTTCATGTCGTTTTTAACATACCTCTTCTGTTTATTTCAAAAGAGGAAACGTATGACGCCTTTTAAAAATTCAAAAACACAAAGTTTCTTTAAACACAACCATTTACAACATTTCACGATACTGTTGAAGAGATAATTTCGTTAGAATTTAGTTGAGTGTTTAAATCTTTATATAGTTGATGACGTGCTAATGCCATACCTGTCTTCATGGACGTGGATAATTTCAAGAAGGAACTAGGAGACAGTTTTGAGTTTGATACGTTTAGGCCAAAGGTGGAAGCCTTTCTCCGAAGTATTGATCCAAATTTCTACTTATATCGAAATTTGGTTGGAGTTGGGAATCGTTCTAAGCTCTACGCAAAATGGTTTAGTAGATTCACTACTTGGGAAAGAGTTATCTATCCGTGTGTGATGTCTTTTGCTTAAAATGCAACACTCATATACAATTTGCATCTTATCTCCATCCACAAGTTGCACATGAAAGGGTCACTGATATAGCAGATAGAGTTCTGCAAATTCTTGATGTTTAAGTATTCTTGGGAATTCCGAGGATCATGCAAGATGCTTTTGATAATTTAAGATAGTGATTTTGTTAGAGCGGTGTAAATTCTGAAACTGTGGGTGTCTATTTAGTCACCTCTACAATTAGTAAAGTACTTTTTCAAAGCACAAAAACGGTTTTTAATGATTTGTTATTAGTGAATCATGAAATTATCTATACTATTAATTGGGAAGCATTGGATAATAAATAACCTTATGAAAGGTAAAGAATTACAAAATATGCCATTGGGATAATTACAATCGAAGAGTAAATGAAAAAAATCGTTGAAGGGCAAAATTATAATTTAAAAGCAAAATACCCATGGATCATGGGCACCTGTATCGGTTATTTACGCGGATCATGGGCTTATTTCCGGATCACAGATCATATACTCGATCAGACGGTTGGAAACTGTCCAGTTTGTTACTTCAGATTTGGTAATCTTAACAAAAAAAAATTTAAAAACAAAAGTAAATATATTACCGAAACAATCGTAATCCCTATAATTTCGAATTCTAATTAAGGTGATAACAAATTTTGTTCGTATTCACTTTCCAAAAAATCCAAATTCAATCAAAAAGAGTATATTCTTGGTCTGTCACATTTTGGAGAATATTATCATTTGCGAGTAATATTGAACTAAAAATCTCAATCTTTGCAAATTTTTTTTTTGGTAGGATCAATCTTTTTAAGTAATTCATTTTCTAAAATATATTTATTCTAGGTACCATAATACATTATTTTAAGTACCACTATCCGGTTCAACGGTCAACCCAATCCGACCATCGGATCGGTCCGAACTTTAAAATACTTATGAAACTATTATTATTTCTAATATTCATAAACCGGATTAAAACCAAACCGAATACCAAATCAGTATGAATTTAGATTATACATTTTATACCAAAAAAATATGTTTATAAAACTCCGCACGTATGTGCGGGTCCGAATCTAGTTATGTTAAAAAAAAAAACAAAAAACTTAAGCAAAGAAAAAAAGAAAATAATAAGCAGAAAATGGAAAGTATAACAAGCGAGAGAATCTATAAAACAAACACTCATAATAGCAACAAAACAAACAAAAAAAACCAACGGTCAAGATCTAACTCTCTCCGTACAATCCAACGGTTTTCACTAAACTAGCTAAACCGTGGCTCTAAAACCTATAAACCCGACCCGTATTTGTGAGTTTCCCACTATAACCGGATTAAAAACCCCTAATTTCGACCTAAACTTTGCCATTAATAGATATCTCAAACACAACTCTCAAAACTTCCCCTGTTTGGTCTGAAACCGCAACTAACCCTAATCTCACATCACATCACAAAACACACCACATAGCCGCAAAATTTAATGGCAGACGTCAAGATTCAATCCGAATCCAAATCCTCGGATTCTCAGCCCTTGGTGGTCGACAATCAACCTCCTCCACCGTCGCAACCACTGGTTGAAGAAGAGGATAATCAACCAAAAACATCTCCGACTCCGCCGCCACACTGGATGCGTTATCCACCACCGGTGCTTATGCCTCACCAGATGATGTACGCGCCGCCGCTGCCGCCTCTGTTCTCTCCTTATCATCAATATCCGAATCACCATCATTCTCGTGGTAACAACAACAATAAGTATCAAAACGCTTCTAATGGTGAGAATAAGACCATTTGGGTTGGTGATTTGCATCATTGGATGGATGAGGCTTATCTTAATTCTTCTTTTGCTTCTGACGGCGGCGAGGTTTGCTTTTCTCTCTCTCTATCATTATTGCAAAACATTTATGTATCTCTTTATTAGTAGTGTCTTAGATTGTGTATTAACACTTTCTTGATTCTGTTTTCGTTGACTTTTAACGCTTTTGACCTTAAAAACGTTGTCTTTTTCAGTTTCTCTCTGTACTTGCTGACAAAGTTTGCTTTTTGCTCTGTGTCTTGTGAAATTGGTCTAAAGGTGTGTACTTAATGTTTAATACAGATTGTTTCGGTGAAGGTGATTCGTAATAAGCACACTGGTTTATCAGAAGGATATGGATTTGTGGAGTTTGAGTCCCATGATGTAGCTGATAAGGTTTTGCAGGAGTTTAATGGAATGACTATGCCAAATACTGAGCAACCTTTTCGTTTAAACTGGGCTAGTTTTAGCACTGGTGAGAAGCGGTTAGAGAACAATGGACCTGATCTCTCTATTTTCGTTGGGGATTTGGCGCCGGATGTTTCGGATACTTTGTTGCACGAAATGTTCTCTGAGAAGTATCCGTCGGTTAAAGCTGCGAAAGTTGTCATTGATGCTAATACTGGAAGATCAAAGGGGTATGGGTTTGTGAGGTTTGGTGATGAAAATGAAAGGACCAAAGCAATGACGGAGATGAATGGTGTTAAGTGTTCTAGTAGAGCTATGCGTATCGGTCCTGCTACCCCGAGGAAGATTAATGGTTATCAACAACAAGGTAAGTTCTTTCCAATGCAATATCTTTGTGTATGATCTATTTAAATAGTTATATGAAGTTTCAACTCATTGTTAGGTTCTTGGTATTGCAACAATATGTTTTGAGTCTCTTTTGTACTTAACTATTTGTTGGATTTGGCAGGTGGATACATGCCAAATGGCGCCTTGACGCGTCCTGATGGGGAGACATTGAACACAACAGTAATTGTTTGTTCGTAGTATCTCCTTATTTTCTACCTTTCATGTGAATGTGACAAGAGAAGGTTAATCTTCCTTTTTTGTTTTTTTTTTCCTTTTATCTATGTTTTATAACATAGATATTTGTTGGAGGACTTGACTCTAGTGTCACTGACGACGACCTAAGGCAACCTTTCTCTGAATTCGGGGAAATAGTCTCTGTCAAGATCCCTGTTGGTAAAGGATGTGGATTTGTTCAATTTGTTAACAGGTAACATTTAATTATCTTATTTAACTATGAATTAAATATTTTCGTATCGTTGTTCTGTCACTTTAATCGATTTGATGTTCAAACATTTGGTTGCAGACCAAATGCAGAGGAGGCTTTGGAGAAACTAAATGGGACTGTAATTGGAAAACAAACAGTTCGGCTTTCTTGGGGACGTAATCCAGCCAATAAGCAGGTAAATCCCATGTCTAATCATGGAGAACAAGCGTATCAAAATACACCGTTCAGTTTAGTGTTCCATCTCAAGGCCGTAGAAGAAACCTAAAATTGTTCTCTTTTAGAGTAAAGAAAGACCATTTTTCAGTTTAACCTAAAAATGTTCTAATAATCTAAGCTGGCTGAATCATCCGAGTTTCATTGATAAACATCGTAGGGCATTTGGTCAAACTTTTTTTTTTTCAGTTTTTACTTTCTTCTGTTTTCAAAAAGTTAAAACCAAACTTTTTATTTCGGTTTGAAATTTCGTTAGGTATTAAAATGTTAAACGCCTTTTTGATATATATTTAATTTAAAATATGTGGTTCATTTGATTTGGTTGCACTAAGTTTGATCTTAGTTTGGTTTGGTTATGGATTTGTATAAGACTACTGTTATGGTTTTGCTTCAAAGAAAGTTTTGTTTGGTGTGGTTTTTACCCCTAAACTACCTCATTGATGTAATAATGTTTGAATGCCTCTTATTGACACATCTCTGATTTTCAAGTTTTGTGTTGTGTTGCAGCCTAGAGATAAGTATGGAAACCAATGGGTTGCTCCGTACTATGAAGGACCATATTACAATGGGTATGGATACATGGTACCGCAACCTGACTCGAGAATGTATCCCGCTGCACCTTACGGAGGGTACCCAATGTACGGTGGTCATCAGCAACAAGTTAGCTGAGGAAACTAAAAGCTTAATCTGAGCATCTATCTATAGGACAACAAAAACTCACTCAGGTTAGGTGATGTTAGGAGGTACAAGGCAAAAATGGTTGGCTTCTTGTCTCTCCTTGAGTTTAGGGTTTATCATCTAGTGGACATCGAATTTTGGTGGAAACCATACAGTAATTTTGGGGACTTGGATTTGATTGATTAATTTGATTTGTTTCTTCTGATACTTTTCACTATGGAACTTATTGATCAAGAAGAAGTGAATTTCACCAATTGATTATTGTGTTTTTTTTTCTTTTGTTAAACATGTCATTAGTTTGCGTTTGGAGGTAGTTATCGCCATCAGGCCCATCACAACTAATAATGACCCTTAAGTTAGCTTTCATATCCTTCATTATTTTTTAAGGTCTCAAAGCCTCTTTCTACCGTCTCAAGGAGGCGTATAAACTTAGCTATTTTCTATGGTACACACATAGTATTAGAATAGCTAGAACCTAGAAAGATGAGAAACTTCCAATTGAAAAGTGGGGGATCAATATTACGACAATGCTTAGTATCACCGCATAGTTTTATCACAGCAAGAAATCATCCAAGTGATCAGGTTGCTCAATTTCCTCAAACCGGTGCAATTGCGAGATTCTCATACTAAACCCTCACCAAGTGAGATTTTTCTTGATCAAAACCTTCCTTTGGTGCTGAAAGGAGGTAATTTGGTTGGAGTTGGGAATCTCTCTAAGCTCTACGGGGAACGTCTTAGTAGATTCACTACATAGGAAAGAGTTAAGACATATGACATCTATCCGTGTGATGCTTTTTGCTCGAAATGCAACAACTCAGATACAATTTGCATATTTTCTCCACCCACAAGTTTCACATGAAAAGGTCACTGATATAGCGGATAGAGTTATGTAATTCTTGATGTTTAAGCACGCTTAAGAATTCAGAGGATCATGCAACCTGCTTTTGATAATTAGAGATATCGATTTTGTTAGAGCGGTGCAAATACTGAAACTGTGTAATGTGGATGTCTATTTTAGTCCCTCCTACAAATTTTAGTAAAGTACTGGACAAAGAAGCACATAAGCCGGTTGCACAAAAAAAGAAAATAATAAAACCGGTTGCACAAAAAAGAAAAAGAAAATAAATAAAAAATCAGAAAAAGGAAAGTACAACATGCGACAGAATCTAAAAAAAAAAAAACTCATAATAGCAACATAACAAACAAAGAAAAAAACCGACGGTTAAGATCTAACTCTCTCTCTCTCCGTACAATCCAACGGTTTTCACTAAACTAGGATGACTTTAAACCTAGAAACACCCATAAACCCATAAACCGGACCCGTATTTGCCAGTTAACCGGAAAAAAACCCCTAATTTCGACCTAAACTTTGCCATTATTTAATATAAACACAACTCTCAAAACTTCCCCTGTTTGGTCCGAAACCGATACTAACCCTAAATCTCACATCGCATCACAATCACTCCATAGCCGCAAAATTTAATGGCAGACGTCAAGATTCAATCCGAATCCGAATCCTCGGATTCTCAGCCGTTGGTCGTCGACAATCAACCACCACCTCCTCCTCCGCCGCCGCAACAGCCGGTTGAAGAAGAGGAGAATCAACCAAAAACATCTCCGACTCCGCCGCCACGCTGGATGAGATACCCACAACCGGTGTTAATGCCTCCGATGATGTATGCGCCGCCGCCACCGCTGCCGTTCTCACCTTATCATCAATATCCGAATCACCACCACCTTCACCATCAATCTCGTGGTAATAACAACAATAAGTATCAAAACGCTTTTAATGGTGAGAATAAAACCATTTGGGTTGGTGATTTGCATCATTGGATGGATGAGGCTTATCTTAATTCTGCTTTTGCTTCTGGCGACGAGGTTTTGCTTCTCTCTCTCTCATTATTGCTATGTATCTCTTGATTAGTGTCTTAGATTTTGTATTAACACTTTCTTGATTCTGTTTTCGTTGACTTTTAATGCTTTTGACCTTAAAAAGATGCCCTTTTCAGCATCTATCATATAAACTCGATGACTCTGTTTTATCTCTGTTTCTTGTGAATTTGGTCTAAAGGTTTGTACTTTATGTTTAATACAGATACAGATTGTTTCGCTGAAGGTGATTCGTAATAAGCACAATGGACTATCAGAAGGATATGGATTTGTGGAGTTTGATTCCCATGATGTAGCTGATAAGGTTTTGCAGGAGTTTAATGGAGCGACTATGCCAAATACTGAGCAACCTTTTCGTTTAAACTGGGCTAGTTTTAGCACCGGTGAGAAGCGGTTAGAGAACAATGGACCTGATCTCTCTATTTTCGTTGGGGATTTGGCGCCGGATGTTTCGGATACTTTGTTGCACGAAATGTTCTCTGAGAAGTATCCGTCGGTTAAAGCTGCGAAAGTTGTCCTTGATGCTAATACTGGTAGGTCAAAGGGGTATGGGTTTGTGAGATTTGGAGATGAGAATGAAAGGACCAAAGCAATGACTGAGATGAATGGTGTTAAATGTTCGAGTAGAGCTATGCGTATCGGTCCTGCTACCCCGAGGAAGACTACTGGTTATCAACAACAAGGTAAGTTCTTTCCAATGCAATAGTCTATGAAGATAGTTCTATGAAGTTTTAAGCTTGTGATTGATTTCTCCTTGTTAAAGTTTCTCCAAGTGTCTATCGTCTTAGAATAACCGATCTTTTATTATCAAACCTCAAAGAAAAAGCATATCGTCCATATTTTTATCAGAATTCTGCTCATTGTTAGGTTCTTGTTATTGCAACAATATGTTTTGAGTCTCTTATGTACTATTTGTTGGATTTGGCAGGTGGATTCATGCTGAATGGTGCGTTGATGCGTCATGAAGGGGACACATTGAACACAACAGTAATTGTTTTTTCATAGTATCTCCTTGTTTTCTACCTTTCATGTGATTGTGTGACAAGAGAAGGTTAATCTTCTATTTTTTTTTTTTTTTTCTCCTTTAATCTATGTTTTATAACATAGATATTTGTTGGAGGACTTGACTCTAGTGTCACTGACGACGACCTAAGGCAACCTTTCTCTGAATTCGGGGAAATAGTCTCTGTCAAGATTCCTGTTGGTAAAGGATGCGGATTTGTTCAATTTGTTAACAGGTAACATTTAATTACCTTATTTAACCATGGATTAAGTATTCTCTTATACCATAATCGATTTAATGTTCAAACATTTGGTTGCAGACCAGATGCAGAGGAGGCTTTGGAAAAACTCAATGGGACTGTAATCGGCAAACAAACAGTTCGGCTTTCTTGGGGCCGTAATCCAGCCAATAAGCAGGTAAATCTCACTTTCTATCTGTATAAGTGTCTAATCAGCTAGAACAAGCCTATCAAATTCACCGTTCTGTTCAGTTTTCAATCTCAAGGCCGTAGAACAAACCTAAAATGTTCTCTTTTATAGTAAAGAAAGACTGTTTCTGTGTTGGAACCCTTATGTGAACCTAGTCTGAGATAATCTAAGCGGACTTAACCATCCGAGTTTCATTGATAAAACTTCCTAGGGCATTTCGTCCAGTTATTTTTTTTTTTTTTTACTTTCTTCTGTTTATGGTTTGGTTAGGTATTAGGTAAAAAAAAGGTTCATGAAATGTTAACTTCAAGAATGATAAACGTCTTTTCGATATATATTTAGTTTAGAATAATATTTTTGAAGAATTTCGATTCATTTGATTTGGTTGCACTAAGTTTGATCTTAGTTTGGTTTGGTATAAGACTACTAAGTCTACTATTATGGTTTTTCTTGAAAGAAAGTTTGGTTTGGTGTGGTGTTTACGTCCACCCATGAAGGACTTAACGTATGTGATAAGGTTTGAATTTCTCTGAATGAGGCATCTCTGATTTTACAAGTTTTGCGTTGTGTTGCAGCCTAGAGATAAGTATGGAAACCAATGGGTTGCGCCGTACTACGGAGGACAGTATTACAATGGGTATGGATACATGGTACCGCAACTTGACCCGAGAATGTATCCCGCTACACCTTACGGAGGATATCCAATGTACGGTGGTCATCAGCAACAAGTTAGCTGAGGAAACTAAAAGCTTAATCTGAGCATCTATCTATAGGACAACAAAAACTCACTCAGGTTAGGTGATGTTAGGAGGTACAAGGCAAAAATGGTTGGCTTCTTGTCTCTCCTTGAGTTTAGGGTTTATCATCTAGTGGACATCGAATTTTGTTGGAAACCATACAGTAATTTAGGAGACTTGGATTTGATTGATTAATTTGATTTATTTCTTCTGATCTTTTTGACTATGGTACTTATTGATCAAAGAAGAAGTGAGTTGCACCAATTGATTATTATGTTTTTTTTTGTGTTCTTTTGTTAAACATGTCATTAGTTTCACGTTGTGGGGGTAAATATCGCCATCAAGACCATCACAACTAAGAATGATCGTTAAGTTAGCCTCTCTGGACCGTCTCGGGAAGGCTTATTCCTCAACAACTTGGCTATTTTTTATGGTACACACATAGTATTAGAATAGCTAGAACCTACAAAGATGAGAACTTACAATGGAAAAGTGGGGGATTAATATTACGACGATCCTTAGTATCACCATAATTTTAATACAATGTCGTCGTTAATCACATCCAAAAGTCAATAATGATTCTACGTAAAAGCTTTTATATCTCTTAGAACATAATGATGTATAAAAAGTTTTATACTTTGAAGAAGGAGAAATCCGAAAGGCATGAAAGGCTGAAACAATGAGAAATATAGACTTTTAGGACAGAAAAGGAAACATTCTGTACATTGATGTTTGTACTTAGTTAACTTTTTCATACAAAGAGTACTTATGGATATAACAAAGATTAATTAAAAACGATATTTAATTTCTAAGGTAAACTAATACAATTGAAGAAAAGATGTATCTAAAATTAAACAAGGTATGATTTGTTACAATCCCTAAAGCTTCTAAGTTTAAGGGTTTACTTCTATGAACTACACAAACTTTGATGGCTGTATCCTGATAGTTTTGACTCTTTGTCTTCGAAAACCTAAAAATCTCCTCAACAATGTCTTCATTCTCTTATAAGTTTAAGAGACCTTAATTTGTTAATTGTTTTTAATGAGGAATTATAAATTCGAAACGAAGTTTTATAAATTCTAAAAGCTTATAAATGCAAAAATAGGTGTTCAAAGTCTAAGCATGTTAATAATAATGAAGAAAATTCAACAATGATGGTTCGTTCTATAAAAAGTTTTGAAACAAGTTATGTGTACTTGTTTAAAATTCAAAACTTAATAACGTGCCAAAATAATTTAGTAACAAACTAAATAACGCGCCTAGATAGCAAAATAGCAAAAGTAAATAACCCGCCAAAAAGTTTAAATTTGAAAAGTAAAAGAATTTAATGACCTAAACTTTATAAATTCTAAATTCATTACCTAAAAACACAAGATTAATTTTCTTATGTTTCACTTATAATAGTATATATACAGTAAAACATATATAAACTAATACTCGATAATTAATAATCTCTACAAATTAATAAATTCTTTCGGTCCGAGTTGGGACCAGTGTAAAAAATGACACCAATCAATAAAATAATAAGATAATAATTTTTTGAAAATCGTATGTAAACATATGGTCCCATTAATATCATAAATTAATAATTGTATAAACTTATATATATATATATATATATCTTAATGTATATATATGATAATAATTTATATATGCCATATATAAATTACTATCATATATATAAATATTATATGTAAATTGGTTTAGTGAAATATGACTCTAGTATTTGTTTATTTTTCTTAAATTTGTATTAATTCTTGATAGAGTTTATTTTTAATATTTTTACTACATCAAAAAAAAGTTTGTGTTGTTCTCTAAACTTAATAATTTTTTTTCCACTTGTAATTGGGTTTAGAAAGATATTGTTTATAGAGACAAAAACTGTTTTTTAGATATAATTTTTATAAAAAATTACAAAATTAGTAAAATCTCTTTGTAAATTAATAATTATTAATTTATCGATAAATTCTTACTTTTATAAATTAATAGAATTTCTCGGTCCCTACATTATTAATTTATAGAGGTTTTACTGTATAGAGTCTTTGAAGAAAAAAAATTCGTTGAATCCAAAAATATAAGAAATGTGAGTTTCTTAAAATACTCTTCGATAAATTCTCTCATCTATATCTTTTTTTTTATTGAAACACTTTATGCAATTTGATGGCAATTGCAGCTCGAATCATGTACAAAACAAGATTTGGATCTGATGAAGCAACTTTGCGATATTCCTTAAAAATTTCATTGTTGTTTTACTAGTATTGAGTTTGGGGTATATGTCTCTCTAATAGTGATAATATTTTTATACGGAACACTTAACATGAGCTACGACCATCTCCAATGTCCATCTCTATATTTTCCTCTTTTTCAGAGGAGATTTTGCTCCAGTGTATACCTGTAAAATAGAGGAAAGAAAATATAGAGATGTGCATTGAAGATGCTCTACGTATAGACTCCATATATGGTGAGGCTATTTTGTTTCATTATAAACACATTTAACTTGTTGCTTGTTTTCTTTTGATTTTAATTTAGGTGGTGATAGATCTATATGAGGTATATGCAAAAAAGACTTTCTTTCCATATACAACTATGAGCCTTAATATTCAAGATTTTGTTTTGAAGTTAAACATACAAATTCTTCTAATCTTCCTTATATGATTTAGTTTTCTGACTTTTAATCTTATAGGAAGTATGACCCCTGATTTCTAACGGCAATCATCGAAGGCCGAAAGTTCTTTAGTTTACAAAAGTTTTTACATGGTAAATTCTATTTTTTAAAAGATATGTTACTTAATGTCTTCTTCCGCTTTAGAATTTAGGCCATTTTAAACATGAACTTTGTATGAGGCCATTTTTAATCATCAATTAAACGTTGATTAACGTATTGGACATCAGATTGCGTTGACCCGACAAAAATAAACATGACGTCAAAATCTGCTAACAGCCGTTATCAGTCGTTAACGAACAACAAAACTAAGAAAAAAGAAGACAGAATACAAATAACCCAGACACAAACCAAACACCAAAGACACAAAAACACTGGTGTTCGTTAGTTTTGTTGAATATTATCACAATAGCAATTTTGGTTTTACTAACATTATCACAATAGCAATGAAAGTAAAAAATAAAAGGCACACCAAGCACAATTTGACCATCAATTTCCATTTCTTAATCTCTTTTTTGCTCCACATTCCATCTTCCTTCAATTCTTCGATCATAGCCTTTAACTCTTCAATTTCGACTGCCAAATCTGATTCTAGTGGTGAAGATTGTTAGAAAATACGTGAGATTGGATGATTTTCCTTTCTTTATTTTTTTTAAATTTTAATTTGGCAGATTTGGCATCCAACTGAGTAGCATGAGGGAATGACTTAATTTGGGGGCACCCACTTCAAAATCATGTTCGATTTGAAATTTATGAGGCAAGTCGCACTATCATATGTTTTTACCACACGCGTGTGAATCCTTGATAATTGTTCGTCATACATGATTCTTACCGCGTAGAGATCATGAATGAGAAATGGAAGTACGAAAGAGAGTGTCGACCATGTAATCATCACACAAAGATTGACTTCCAATTAAAAATCAAAGGCTAACGCAAAGCCTGATGAAGTAAGTAATCTGCCACTCATGAGAACAATATTTGAAGAAATTGTGACACTTATACTAGACTTTTTCAATTGACATTTTGAAGAGTTCTGAACTTGCAAGTTTTTTACATTCAATACATTAATAAAGAACTCAAAATGTTTCAAACTATTTACTCTCAAAATAGTAATAATGCGTTATCGCATACTTTCTTATCCTTCATAAATTTTATGCATCTATTTAATTGTTGACCCACTTCAAGCAAAGATCCGCTTTGACAGGCTTATGATCGGAACCATATACTTGGTCTATGGAATCATAAGAGTGAAGAGTTGCTTGAATATTATCAGTATTTTGAATCTTGAATAAGATCCTATCTGTCCAAGCTGGAACCCTGATCTTATGGCTTGTATCATAGTCGCTACTTCCTACATTGTATTTGTAGGTCGGTTTAAACCCTAAAGTTCCTTCAGAGTAACCTTTGAATATTTCGCCTCTCTCTGCTTCTTGTAAGAGTTGATCCTTACTCACAAGAACCTGCACAAAGTGATGAAAACCAATAAAATTAAGAGTGATTAGCAAATGGAACCGAATAGCTACATTATTTAAATAAAACAAAACAATATTTTGTTTCAAAAACTAAATCAAAACCAATATTTATGCAACCAAAAAAAATTGAACTCAATATATATATTTACACTTGAAGATTATACTCACACCATTCTATTCTATAAGATATTTTAACTTATTTTTGTCTCATTTATTAAGCAGTATATTTTGACCTAATTGCTTTTACAAATATTAAATTAGGATTGGTTAGAGAAGTCTTTTAAAAAACATATAGACAAATATCGCTCTTATGATTTTACTTATATAAACTCTCTAACACATCTGGTTTGGACCGTTTGGCCAAACAATTTCTATACTAATAATATATTACATTTTGATGAAAAAACAAGTAAAAGGTAGATATTGTTCTTAAGAGAAACAGAGTAAATAATATTTATTGAATTTATTTCTATTTTTTCTATAATATTGTTTTTGTTTTTTTACCGAAAAAGCTCAATGTCTATCCTTAAGTATCAAAATAATGTGCATTTTATGGAAGACAAAGAAATGACTTACAGATTGAAGATGGTTTTGGATAAGAGATCGAACAGGACGGTTAGAGGCATCTTGGATCCTGTAATTTAGATCTCCAAGCCAAACAGTGAGGTCACGTTTCCTTTTTTCTCTTGGTAATAGTGAATTTGCTATATGTCTTAACTCTGTATTTCTTTGATCCACTTTCTTTGCATGAGCTGCATAATTATAATAATAATTATTTGTAATTGTAATTAATTGTAAATTAGCAAAAAAAGAGAAGACATTATAAAGAGAATAAAGTAGGTACCAGAGAGATGGCAAGAGATAAAAACCATTTTGATATCATCGTAGTTAATACGAATAGCCACGGCTCCTTTTTTTCTTCCTATTAAACCTCCACATCCTCCTACTGAATGTCTCTCTGCCTTTAATTCTGTAATAAATAGTACAATAATCAAATCATTTTTGTTTCAAAATAAGTGTTGTAAAATTTTAATATATCAAATTTTCATTAGAAATTGATTAATATTCAAATAAAATGAAGCAAACAAAAATTTCTAAAAATATATACCTTTTACTAATGTATGTGAATTCTTTGGCCCAAACAAATATAACTGGATTGATTGCAATTTCGCCTTCCCAAGAAGCCTGCATTTTAATTCAATATATGGAACTTTAATTTGCAATGTTAGAATTACATGAATAGAGAAGACAAAATTTTGGTACATTAGTTAATTATGGATATAAATAGAAAGAAACAGTAGAGTATACTTACTCGTGTGTTGGAGATGAAGCTGTTTGCAAAAGTTGATCAACGTTTGTTTTAGGAGCCTCTTGCAAGCCAATGACAAGCAAATCGAACTTCCTTTCTTTGCCAACAAGCTCAACCAAATCCTCATATGAAACCTTCACATGTACCAATAACAATTAATGATAATTATAAATCATAATCTAATATTCTTCATGTCCATTTAAACTAATGTTAGACATAATTTACTCACTTTTCAAAAATATCCCTGTTTTTTGTTCATTTTTGAAAATAAAACAAAATATGGATTTATAAACTTTTATAACTTAAATTTAAGATGAAATGGAATAATCAAAGTTTTAGAAGATTTAGGACCTTTGTTATATACTTATGTACATACCTTTCCATTCATGTTCCATGTGATAATACGGATGCAAAGATCTGCTTTTCTAGAAAAACTGCAACTTTTAACAGCTTCAATTGTTTTAATACCATCGTGAGATGATGAGTTTCTTGCAAACGAACCTATCGGAGACTTCTTGTAGTTCGAAAACCTATTGATACACAACAACACGTCAATAACTACTTATCCACTTGAAGTTACATGTCTATCTACAACAAATTTATTTGTGTATATATATATATATATATATATATATATATATATATAACAACGTAGGAGGCAAGATTCGTATGATACTAATTATTACCTTTTTAGCCCACACATCGAATTCGTATTCCCCATTGTCTGCATGCAGTGTTTCTCCTTAAAAGGCAAGATTCTAAAGGTTTTTTTTTAGAGAGCGAAAATTTATCGAGGAGAAGTGTACAAATTTGAAGATAAATGATATAATGAGAACCTAAAAGAAAATTTACAAAGTCATCGTCAATCATAATCTATATATTGATATATAGGGGTAATTAGGCACATGCAATGTTACGTGGTTTTCTAGGAAGTTAGGTGAATGGTGTTGACTACAAAGACGTGTACGTCTTCCAATGGACGGTCGAATTTGATAATGACTTTGCCGGTTTTTTCTTCATCAGGAAATCTCTAGAGGAATAAGAAAAAGTACAGTAGAATCTTTGATTTTTATTAAAAATCCAATGTTTATTTTACAGTAAATAATGGCGGATAATCGATACACTTTATCATATCACATGTGATGTAATGTAAAACAATTTTGTCTTTGCTTATGCTAAACTAATTTAAACAAAAGAAAATCACTTATATGCTATTATTATACAGAGAAATGAGCTTCAGATTTAATGTAAGAAAAAAATATAAAATTTTCAAAACAGGTTGAACAGAAAAGATTGGTTGGAATGGATGGAAGCTCAAAAGCTTGAGGCCGAGGAGGATTTGGGTGTGGAAACTGGTGTGAGGGGTATTCGTGGGAGAGTAAGAGCTTTGGCTGTTGGTTGGAAAGCCCCTCCAAACAATTGGTTAAAGTGTAATGTGGCTACTTCTTGGTCCAAAAGGAACCAATTTGCTGGCTGTGCTTGGGTCTTAAGAGATCATGTTGGTAAGGTTTTACTTCATAGTAGATGTGCTTTGACAGGAAGTTTGGTAAAGCAAGAAGCTCAGTTCAAAGGGCTGTTGTGGGCTATGGAAAGTATGAGGTTTCACAGGGTGGAAAAAGTGGTTTTTGCCTTGCAGGAGGAGTTTTTGGTGAATGTGATTTCTCGACCTGCTGCTTGGCCGTCCTTTAGATACCATTCTATGGTTCTTGGCCAAGTTCTCAGCTCTTTTCGGTCTTGGAAAATTCTTTTGGAAAACTATTCCTCAAACAGAGGAGCCTTTCTTATTGCTAAGAGTGTCACTGATGATTGCAGACTCCAATCTTTTGTGGCTGTGTCTCATCCAGCGTGGCTCGATGGTGTTTTTAATGAATAAAGGATCTTGTCCTCTGATTGAAGTTTAGTTTTTATGTTTATGGCTCAGGTTGTGAGCATATTCTTTTTGTGTATGCCCTCTCAGTGTAGATGTGGCGTGGTTAATGTGGTGCTTAGGCCCTTGTTGGTATGTGTTGTAACAATCAATCATATCTTTAATATAAATCCAGTTGACAAAAAAAAAAAAACAGGTTGAACAGAAATAAGCTAAACTAGTTTCAATATTTATTCCTTAGCAATCTAGCTTAACTGAGAAAAAATAAGGAAATTAAAACAGAAATAAACGAATGTTACAAAACCAATGACTAAAATTCACACCCATAATTATGTATATACATTAGTTTAACCTCTAGAAATTAATAATTCATAGATTAATTAAAAAAATTAGTTTGTCTCTGGTTCGATTTTTATGTAAAAAATAATTAATAATTATATAAATTGACACATATAAAGATCATGATAATTTTTGGACATGCATTCATTAGGGTAATGCAAATGTTATATAAATCAACTGTATTGTGATAACTCAGATCATTAATTATAAAGTTAAATATATGAATGTCGTTTTGCAAGTGAATTGATCATAACTCAATGATATTTTATCCTCAACAAAAATTCTGCATTGTTGAAAACAATTTGTTTTTCTTTTGTTTTTGTAAATATAAACGATCCTGTTACAGACTACAAAATTAGTTTCATACAAAACATTATTCTACATGAATTAAATTGTCTTAAATTTTATTGTTTTAGACTATTAAAAGAAAATAATTCATTGAGTATTTCAAGCAAAAATATATTATAAATAAATTAATATTTTATTAATTTTTAAATATGGATTTATAAATAAAATTTAGTTTAGCAGATAAAATGACTGTCCAATTTCTTTTTTAACATCAAAAGTTTTGTATATAGTATAATTTGTAGATATATACTTGAATCCACCATGTTTTTTAAATCCTTTGGAACCAATCTATCTATAGTTTTTTAGTTGATTTGACTAGATTTAGTTTTTGTTGGTTTTGAACTCGTCTACAGAAATAGATCGGTTCAGTTAAAAGTTTATTTTAGTGTTGGATTTCAATTCTATTAAAATCCATAATTGAATAACACATTAGTTAAGTGGTATGAGGCCACTCTTCTTCAACTACAACATGGAAGATCAACCTCATCAAGTGGTCGTTGATGACATTTCATGATTTAGCCATTAAACTATTTAACTTTCATCCAGTTTGTTTGTTTTTTCAACTTCGGTTTCTTTAACTCATCCCAGACATTATATACACATTCAAATATTATACATGTAAGAGTTTTATGAAGAAACTTTAACTCGAGCACATACCTTAATCCGGTTTCGCTATAAATTTTGGCTCGGATTTGATCTGAAATTGGCCAGGAAAGAGATCACATACAAAATCAATCACTTTTCACCGTTCAAGACCCCTTTCGGTTAACTTTTACAAGCTTACTCACTCTAAACATTTTACTCTTTATAGAATTATTTCTATTCATCAAGTATCTATGCTTTAACTTCTCTTTAGCATTATCGCTTTTATAGGCCGCAGCAAGAGAAGCTCTAGAGAGAAATGAGTGGTTCTAGTGAAGTTATTGGTAATAAAACTCTCAGAACTGTCGGTTAACTAAATTGGTTTGGTATGCTACAAAATAACAAGCGTAAACCATCTGTAACCCATAGTTACATAAGTTACTTTTAACCAAATTATTTTAGATTTATTATGTCGTGTCTGGTGAACTTCTAAAGGTCGAAATTACTAAATAAAATGTTCTTATCCACTAGTCTTGGAGGTTCAACAAACTAATTCACGTCCACATATTACATATAAATAAATAAAATGTTCTTGTCCACAAATTTGTGTTGCTGTTGGATGTTGAAGTTCATGGTTCAAGTGGCTCATTAAAGTGTTTATTTTCTTGTTAATTAGTTATATTTATTATTTTGGCGATTTTCTTTTTCCATACTAAAATAAGAATATGACAAGTGGACTTTTTGCAATAATGTAGGTTCCATTTGCAAATTTCCTTGTGAACTTGCATGCTCTGGAGGCTATTTTCAACGGGATCATGTTAGAACGCAAACTTAAGCCTTTTCAAAATTCAAGGCTTTGGGAGATCCATGCTACTCAGCCAAATAAAATACACTCGTACAAGAAGATGTTTTCATCATCATGCCGACATGCACCAAACCTAGCTTAGCATGTGTGGCAGATCAGTTGGTATGTTGCTGTCATGACTTACATACCAGAATATCTCTTATGTATTAGGAAATTCATTTCTATTTTTCCGACGTGGAATAATTTTTACACATGATCTCTCGAGATAGGGGTTCTAGCTACTAGCCATTAACCTCGATAGAATTTCATCGTATTCTTTTCAAATAATGTTTTCTATATCGGACCGGATTCAGACAGCAGCGTATGTTCAAACTCTAATACCATAAATCATCAAAGATTGCATGTAATTAAAATCCTCAGAAATGGAAAATTCGTAGGGTATCACGAATGCAAAAGCAAAATAAGAAAATCATGAAAGGATTCATGAATGAAAAAGTAAAACAAATCATTAGAGAAATATTTTATTTTAGGATCATAAGTTCATAACACAAGAATAGAATAATCCTCTTTGAGGCATTAATTCATATGCTTAAAACTTTAATTTTAAGTTTGGTATGTTCACCATAACTCGAACATAAAAACTCTTATTGGTTAGGAAAGTATTGATCATCTAGCGTATATTAATACTCTAGGTAGCACAAATTAATGTAGCTATTTCAACCATTTTATTTACCCGATTACTGATTTAACTATTTCAGCATATCGTCGACGTCAGTCATACACAAATTGATTAGTATCAAAACAAATTTGCTTTTTTTTGTTTGTGGTCGGTTTGTTATCCCTTCAGTACATCACCAATTTCTAAAAACCCTTAGATATATTCAACTAGTTGTTAGATCTTAAAAAAAAATTAAATCTATATTGCTTTGACTTTATCTTTAACCAATGTGTAGGGCTGTCACTAGGAATCCAAGTTAGAGTTTTCTATCTTAAATATCTATCTTATAAACCTCCATATTTAAACTTTGCACTTAAGAAAAACATATTTCTTTAAAAATGAATGAAAAGTACTAGAAAATATAATTAACATATTAATTAATTTATAATTGATAGGAGTTTACTTATCAAGTGGCTTACACTATTTGGATGCTAGCTAGTCACCACTTGTTTAGTGAGAGCTTATAATAATTGTGCTAACCGTATGGACACATAAACAAATTTTCGTTAATATTCTTCTAAAGTGACATTATCCATTATAAACACATAGAATTCCAATTAATTTAGGCAGTTTTTTGTGAAACAAGCATCGTTCGGAACAAAAGTAAAACGAAAATAAGAAGACTAGAGGACTTACTTGCTAAGTGAAAGAAAGTCTTCGTTGAAAGTAACACAGCTAGTAGAAGAAGTGATATAATGCCGAAAGGAGATGAAGAAGTTAAGAGGCAAAAGAGTCGGCCCAATGATGTGAAGAAGGTGGAGGAAGTGACACGAGTTGCAACAAACAAAACAAAAGGCATTACGAGACTCTTTCGTTGTCTTTATTTCTCACCACTTAGATTTTTGTTTGTTTTTAAATACTAGTTTATTAGTATAACTCCGGTTTCAATCGAAGATTAACATTCGGACTAATTTTATCATAGTTATTGATTTTTGGTTTTGATTGTTAAAGTAATAAATAGTAAACTCTGAGTTAGTTCATTTCAAATTCAATTGATGAGGTCATTTCAATTTATTTGAGACTTAAAAATATTGTAAGGGACAACATTAGTAGAAATGAAGTCAGAATCATTTTAGTCCTTTTATAGTATGACTTTGAAACATTGTCTATTTTTTAAGCAATATGGGATATTGTACACATATTATTTCTTCATCGATTGAATAATATATGTCCATTTTTAAAATTTTGAATCATATAATATGCAGAAAAAATCTAATATTTTATTAACTATATGTATTTTATAGAAATTCAAAACTAATTAAATATAAGATCAAATAAAAATGAAAGAAGAATCCTATATTTATGTTTAAATTAGATAGAGAGGTTTTAGAGTCATACTATAAAAAGGACCAAAATGATTCTGAAACGAAAGAGCATGGAGCTTGATTTATCTGACATCCAAAATTAAAATTGTTATCCAGTTTACTCTGATTATTTATTTTAAAGAATCGAAACCTTTAAAAAGTCTCAAAATATTATAAATATTTATAATATTAAAATTTTTATGAAGTTTCAAGTATTATAAATATTTGAACTTTATAAGAATTTATAAGAAGTTTAAACATTATAAATAATTAAACTTTATACTACGGATGAAATCCTAGAATTGACGGGTTTGGATAGATATTAATACGGGATGGTATACTACGGGTGAAATTCTAGAATTAACAATCAAAATATAATTATACAGTCTTAAACACTAAATAAAAAAAACAATATTAACAAAACAAATACAACTTAAAATTTTTTTTTAAAAAAAAATGCATATCGCTTCCTTTTTAAAAAATATAGTCATGCAGGTTAATCTCTAGTTGATTATAAAATTAGAACTATCTATATCATGTTCCATAATTAATAATATAGATATTTAAAAGATTTTATTAAGATTTAAAATTATGATTCACCTATCTTCTTTGTTTGATTTTGTTTTTTAATTGTTTTGAATATCATACATACAACCAATAAAAATCTAATATGTTTAAAAAATGAACATATATTACTTAATTAATGAAAAAGTGTGTTCAATGTCCCACATCGGCTAAAATATTTAGATAATGATTCAAGTCATATATATAAATAAGATAGAATGAGTCCAAACCTGGATGAACACGAAGTTTAACTTAACAAACATCCAAATTTGAAAGTTTATATACAGATTTTTAGTGGAACTGTTTAATTTTACTCGATATAATTAATTTCTCTGTGCAGACCAGAAAATGTGCAGAGATGACAATGACAAGGGGAGAGAGACAAAGCCATTCTTCAAAACTAGTTGCATATCTTCAAACAATTCTTTTTCCCTTAGTGTACTACATCACATAAAAGGTATATGGCTGGATGGATATGAAGTTAAAGTCAAAACAGAAGACAAGAAAGAAAGAAGAGAAAAAGGCTGAAAGAGAGGCAGACAAAAAGGAATGCTCTTTGGAGAGAGCTGCAGAGACTTTGAAGACTGGCAGTGGCAAAATGTGGGTTTAGGCAGATTAGTTTTCTTGGTTGTGCAATTGTCTTCGCAGCTATGTACTTCTTAGGACTTTGTAAATTTTTGTTTTGCTCTTCTTTCATTGGATAGTTTAGCATGTTAGAAATTTTGTCTTAATTTCGTTTTTTCGGCACTAAAACAATTTTTCACTGGCAATGCTAGATCGATCTAAAGCTGTTTGAAAAAAATATGTTAAATGCATGTTTATTCTTGACAAGACTACTTTGTCTATTAGTTCACTATATAACAAATACCCAAAATTGTGGCAAAAAATGTTTAAAATAACAAAGGACGAGTTATATTGCGGTACGGTTATATGGCAAGGCGAGTTTGGATCAACATTAATAAATATTTAAAATTTTATTAACTTGACACTTCAATAGGGGTTCAATCCTCATTTATTATTTTGTTAACACCACCAATATTAGACGTATTGAATCAGATTGATTTAATTAAGAATATGTGACACAAAAAATGTCCCACAGTTAAATCCTAGTGTTTATATAGAATTATAGCCTTATATATAAAAAAGCATATTTGATTTTACAATGGCGTATGAGAATTTAATGTATGTCAAGAAGCTGATTTCTTGAGAGAGGTGATATAAGATTGGAATCACACCAAACTTATGATCACGCGATGATCAAGGCCTACGGCTTGAATGGAGAGGATGAAGGTAAAAATGGATTTCGAAGGATGGTGATTGATCCGTGTGAGGGTGAGCTTGTTGAGTTCCTAGGGGAATCCACGCACTAGAAGAACAAGACTCGCCTGAACCTTAGGCAAATGGAAAAGCACACACAATACCTTTAGGACAACAAGACGAACCAAGAAGAACAAAGACACACTTTTTACTAAAACTCTCGAGTTTATTGATAAATTGATTTGTCATTTTTACAATGATATGAATTGAGCTTATATAGGCTCGTGATTAGGACTAATAATAGTCTAAAATAATTACAAGAAAAATAAAGCAACATAATATACAAATCAATTATAGGGATTAATTGAAATTGCATTTATGATGATTTTTGGCCAAGTATTGGAAAGATGAAGGTTATTTGTATCTAGACACATTGGACATGAAGTTGTGCACTCCTGGAAGCTTCTTGAAGGTGTAGAAGCCCTCAAAATTGTGCCCAATAAGTTTGGAACAAAGCTCTTGGCGTTTTAATGCAATCAGGTCTAAATAAAGGAAATCTTGTTCTAGATGAATTTGCTTAATCATGTGTGGTTTGGTGCATCTATGGACATGTGTAAGAACCTCTTGATGAAATACATGATCTTTGAATTTGATGCCCACATCAAGAGGATTAATATATTCTTTAATGAAAAAAAAAAATCACTAATGATGCGAATAAACTATGTAAAACTTCTTATTTTCCAAAGAAAAAAAAAGCTTTGTAAAAAATGATTAAAAGTAATGAAGAGTTTAAAACAAGGATTGTAAAGGTATTGGGTTTCAAGGAATGCACAAGGACTGAGGAATAAACAAATTACTGAATTACATGGTTACAAGATATATGTATCCCCTCTGTGGAAACTGGCTTCTAAACTTGACATACTATTACTAAACTCTCATATGCAATTGTGAAATCAAATTTGTATACAATCATTTGTGTACAATCATTTGTGTATTTAATGTGGTAGCCTCATTACTTTATTAGTGCGAAGAAAGTGACTCGTTGGGATAATTTTGATTCAAAGGCAATATATAGTAGGACAATATAGTTCTATAGGAATATTTATTAAGGGAAAACTCAACATCTTATGATAAGAAATATCCAACATTTTGAAATCTAAACAAGCAAGGGACAAGTAGAGTGGTTTCATTGTAGAGTAAATAGATGAAGCTAGAAATAAAGAGCAAGATCAAGAATAAGATGAAGAACCCCATTAGATAGATACTCTTTTCGTCTAAATGTAGACCATCAAGAGGTGGGTTTGGGAAGTAATGCTTCGTCTCCCATTTTGTGTGAGAGAGAGAAAGAGAGATGTGTGACACGTTTTTTTTTTTTTTTTTTTGGGGGTTAATGTTGATATACACCTAATAAATTCTTTCCTTCAAAAGATTTTTTCTTACAAAAATTCAGAATTTGTTTTTGATAAGTGCATAAACTTTTAAAATTTTGTATTGTTTCCTTTTTCCAGGTCAAAGTATTTTTTCCCTTACTTTTTAGTCAGTTATGCTCTAAAGTTTAGGGGAGTGTATGTGTATTGGACTAGACGTAATCATTTAATTTTTTAAAAAGCAAATGTTATTTAACTGATGATTATTAAATGTGTTTTTAAATCTGATTACTGGACATAGAATTATCAACTATCTCAAAATAATAATTACAAAAAAAAAAACAAATCTCAACGAAATAGTAAAAAACTTGCTAAAGTAGAGACTGAATCATCAAAAGAGTCTTGCGAGATAGAGAGAGGACCTGATGCAGAGGCTTTGTCTTATATCAAAGGACTGGATAGTCTATATCTCGCATGTATATAGGGAAGCTAATCGTCTCGGGCACGGATTAACAATTATACATTTTTTTTACATTTAATTAAAATTTCATTTGTTTAACTCTAGCTAGACCGGATTGGATAATGTCACTTTGATTGTCTTGCAAGATGTTAATGAGTTCGGGCAGCGATGTTCGAGTGTCGTTTGCCTTTTTCTTTTTAATAAATGTGGGGGATTCTGTCCCCATCTTCTACCAAAAATATAAAAATAATAATCAACAAAAGAAGATAGACCTCTAAGACGAATTCACTAGACACCGACTCACTAAATCATGAAAGATGTGGAGAAGCATCAACTACCTTTGCCTACTCTTTTATTCCTCTCAAGTATAGACTACTTAGTCTAAAACATAGCTTCTTCACTATGGCAAGAAGCCCCCAATATATCCACTACGCTTGTACAACAATGGTTAATATGATCATTAATCATCTACCATGAGTCACTCTTCTGTTTTAGTTTCACCAATACCTAATATTAAAAAGAAAAGAAAAAACAAGATCTACCAATTCAATGCGATAGGGTAAGTGACCAAATGACCATTGCCGTTGTCACCCTTTGTACCCAATTTAGGACTCAAACTTTGGTAAAGGTACTTTTAAGAAGCTGGTACGTCCTAATTGGTCCACATATTCACTATCAACAATAATTTTAGTTACTTGTACGACTCGGTTAAATCCTTCTAGAAGAAACTAAAGTGTACTTACGTACTTGTTCATATTACCACATGTTTTTTTTTTCTTGCATTCAACTACTTGTTTACTGTTTCGGCCCAAACTTCGGCCCAAAACAAAAACCAAATAACTATTACAACATTCCTTGTTATATCATAGCAACCAATACATACTTTTAACAATCCCACTAAATTGAGATTATACATAAATTAAGATATTATGCGAATAATATTTTAACTACCAAATTAGGCCAATTCATACCAAAACTATAGAATATGTACTAAATCATTTCATTACATTCGTTTAGTCATTTTTGGCGGTTTATTATTATTGCAGATCTCATGTGAGACATTTTTATCCTATTCTATTCATTTTGGCACCTACCACTGTCTCCATCTTCTATATTTAATACAAATATCAGAAGAACTCTCAAGAAGTCAGAACAAAGAGAAAGCGAAGAAGAGAAACTAGAACCAGAGCTTCTCACATGGGAAAGGATAAGACTTTGCCGTTGCTCGACCCTCGTGACCCACCGGAACTCACCGGAACCAAATCGGCGTCGAAAGTATGGGCCAAAGAGTTCGGCGAAGAGTCGAAGCGGCTTTGGGAGTTAGCGGGACCGGCGATTTTCACTGCCATCAGTCAATACTCTCTTGGAGCACTAACTCAGACTTTCTCCGGTCGTCTCGGCGAACTTGAGCTCGCCGCCGTCTCTGTTGAGAACTCTGTTATCTCCGGTCTTGCCTTCGGTGTTATGGTATGTTACGTAAACCCTTCACACGTGTCTGGTTTTTGTTACTGTATAATATATGCGTTCCAATACTGGCCACACAATCAAAATCATTTTAATTGATTTTTTTTTATATTCGTTAATATCAAAGTAGATCTTCCCATACATTTAAAATTGTTTTCTTAATTTTGCAAATGTTATTTTGTGATTATAAAGGAGGGGTTTTTTTTTTTTTTTTGTCATTATAAAGGAGGGTTAGTTTGGTGGTTTAAGTTAAAAGGTTAATTACAGAAAGAGTACTTTTTCCAAAGTTATTGGAAAAAATATGATCTCCTTAACTTTAATGTTCACTTAGGCATTTTTGCAACAAAAATAGTTATTCTTGTACTCGTTAAGTTGTTTAAGGATTTTTAGTTTTTTTTTTTCTTTTAATAGTAAAAATTATTTTATTTACTTATATATTTTTTAAAATATTAAAAAATATACCCATTTACTAATATAATAAATAAATCTTTATAACGAAATAGGAAAATATGATTGCAATGGAAACTTGTGCCAAACTTGGACCATCCCTTTTTCTTCCCCTCCGCCGCTAGACACATTTCACTTCGGTTACCACATGTCTTTGGTTTAATTTATTTCATTTAATTTCGATTTTCCAGCCTATCACCAAAAAATAAGAAATTCTATGAATTAATGAAATTTTAAGATCTGTGAATTAATAAATTCAATATATTTTAATAGCTTCTTCATTTCATATATGGCATATATATTTAGACCAAAAGTATATACTTATTTTTGTCTACACTACTCTAGCAATTTAGCACCTTTAATAAAACAAGATTATATATCAAGTTTAGTTTACAATAGTCAATAGATAGCAATGACTTTAAAAATGTTTAGGATAGTATAAAAAACTTAGAGATGGTTACAAAATTTCATATCGCTCCAACTTTTGGTATATGTGCGATATGTTGCTTGTCATGAACCAGTAGCAATGATATGTTAGTAGTAGTGATACAATATCTTATCATTCCCTAGTCATTGTTATTTTTCTTATGGAAAATGCTAATAGATGAAACAATACTAGCAAATTCAATATTGTGGTGATTGAAAATGGTGGCAGTTAGGGATGGGGAGTGCATTGGAGACGTTGTGCGGACAAGCATATGGCGCGGGACAGATTAGGATGATGGGAATATATATGCAGCGTTCATGGGTCATTCTCTTTACCACTGCTTTATGTTTGCTTCCCGTTTACATTTGGGCTCCTCCTATTCTTTCCTTCTTTGGCGAGGCTCCTCACATCTCTAAAGCCGCGGGTATCATTCTTGTTATTCTTTTCTGCCAATTGGTTTTGAGATGGAAGTCTATGATATGTTCACAACTTCTACATGTTAACTCTTTTGAAGTTTAAATTTACAGGGAAATTCGCATTGTGGATGATTCCACAACTATTTGCCTATGCAGCCAACTTCCCGATACAGAAATTCTTGCAGTCGCAGAGGAAAGTGCTTGTGATGGCTTGGATCTCTGGAGTGGTTTTAGTTATACACGCAGTGTTTAGCTGGCTCTTCATTCTTTACTTTAAGTGGGGACTTGTAGGTGCAGCCATCACTCTCAATACCTCGTGGTGGTTGATTGTTATCGGTCAGCTTTTGTATATCTTAATCACCAAATCAGATGGTGCGTGGACTGGATTTTCTATGCTGGCGTTTCGAGACCTCTACGGATTTGTCAAACTGTCCTTAGCCTCTGCTCTTATGCTTTGGTACCATTCCATATATTGCTAGTAGATAGCTTTTGACTTATGTAAGCTCAGATTTCGATTGTAATGATGGTTTTGTTCTTGATTCTGCAGTTTGGAGTTTTGGTACTTGATGATTCTGGTTGTGGTTACCGGTCTCCTTCCTAATCCGTTGATACCAGTTGATGCCATTTCCATTTGGTAATCGATTTGTGCTGATCCATGTTAGTTTCTGATTGAAAATATGTTTGTTTAGAAGTAACCTATTTTATGTTTTGGATTTTACAGCATGAACATAGAAGGGTGGACCGCCATGATTTCAATCGGGTTTAACGCTGCGATAAGGTAAGTTTTCTACATTTTTGTTTCATTTTATTTTTGTAGAGCTAACATTAGGAAAGCTAATTAAACTCTCATGAACTGGTGAACTTTGTCTCTTGGTGTAATCAGTGTGAGGGTATCGAATGAGCTGGGTGCGGGAAATGCAGCTTTAGCGAAATTCTCAGTGATAGTTGTCTCCATAACTTCAACTCTTATTGGGATTGTGTGCATGATTGTTGTCTTAGCCACAAAAGATAGCTTCCCTTATCTTTTCACTACTAGCGATGCTGTGGCAGCAGAAACCACAAGAATAGCCGTCTTGTTGGGTTTCACTGTCCTCTTGAACAGCCTCCAGCCCGTCTTGTCAGGTATCTCATTATGAGTGATAATCAAAGAGCAAATTTGGATCAGAAAACACTGAGTTGTGAAAACTTTTGGTACATCATTTTAGGGGTTGCGGTTGGAGCTGGGTGGCAGGCTCTGGTCGCATACGTGAACATTGCATGCTATTACATTATCGGACTTCCTGCTGGTCTTGTTCTTGGATTCACACTAGACTTTGGCGTTCAGGTTAGCTTTTTACGAACATGATAAACCAGTCGAATTCAGGAAAAAGTTGGATTTAATCCCCTGGCATGCATGTATACAACTGTACCAACCCATTTGGTAGTGTACAATTTTCGGTTTTGAAAAATAAAAACTAGAACCTCCATTTCATTTGGTTCTGTTTTCTGCTGGGGTTTAGTTTGGTTTTTGATAAGTTAGTTAACAACAGTATATGAAATAATAAATATTATTAGGATTGAATGTATTTTTGGTATTCTTTTGTATTGAAACTATCAAATTTTGATGAATTTTGGTTTTATTATGTTAGACTGTATTAAGTTTCGGTTTGTTCAGTATAAATATTGTTGTTTTTATTCGATTCGGTTTGTTTTTTATGTTCTTCACTCTCTTACACAAGGGTTTAAAGCTATTTGTAATTGTTTGATCAATTTTGGTGTTAATGCATTTGTGAATTTTGTAGGGAATATGGGGAGGTATGGTAGCTGGAATCTGCTTGCAGACGCTTATATTGATTGGAATCATCTACTTCACTAACTGGAACAAAGAGGTCTCTTACTTCGTCTCTTGAGTTCTGCTATGTTCCTCATTTTGTGTTTGGTTTGATCATTTCATTAGCTATGAATTCTGAATTCTACAGGCCGAACAAGCCGAGAGTCGGGTTCAGAGATGGGGAGGAACAGCGCGGGAGTGATCAACTCTCGTGGAACCTGGATCATCAGTTCTCGAATCTTTTTTGTCAAAGTTCAATGTTGAGAAAATCATTTTTCAGTTCTTTTTGTTTTATTCGATATGCCTAAAGTTAACGAGTCTCTCTGTGGTTGTTAGAGGGGTTTGTTAGTTTTAGTCTTCTTTTAGATCTAGGATGGTTACTACTTACTATAAGCCAAACTTCTTGATTAACTGAACTATGATACTTGATCTTCATGTGCTTGTTGAATCCAATGTTTATGTTCATTTAGTTTAACTGAATCCGAATATTGTTTTCTTTTTAAAGTCCTTCACATGTCTGCTTTGCCGATGATCTTATCTTGTTTGCGGAGGCGACGGTAGCTCAAGTACGGATCATACGACGAGTCCTAGAAAAGTTTTGCAGTTCGTCGGGCCAGAAAGTTAATCTTGAGAAGTCAAAAATATTTTTCTCTAGCAATGTATCACGGGAGTTGGAGAAGCTCATTACGGATGAGAGTGGTATTAAGTCCACACGTGATTTGGGGAAATATTTGGGTATGCCGGTTTTACAAATTAAAGAGAATAAATAAGGATACGTTCGGAGAGGTACTTGAGAAGATAACGTCAAGATTGTCGGGTTGGAAGAGTCGGTTTCTCAGCCTTGCGGGTCGGGTAACGTTAACTAAGGCTGTACTATCGTCCATTCCAGTTCACGCCATGAGTACAATTTGTATGCCAAAATCGATCCTAGAAAAGCTAGACCGTGCGTCTAAGTCATTTTTATGGGGGAGCAGCGGGGAAAAAAAGAAACAACATCTAGTATCGTGGAGTAAAGTCACCTTACCTAAAGCGGAGGGGGGGCTGGGAATTAGAGCAGCCCAAGACATGAATAAGGCCTTGGTGGCGAAGTTGGGTTGGAGATTACTTCATGATCGAGATAGTTTATGGATTAAGGTGGTGAAAAAGAAATACAAAGTCGGGGATATTCAGGATGGTTCATGGCTAGTAGCGAAGGGGAATTGGTCTTCAACGTGGCGAAGCATTGTCTCGGGTTTGCGGGATGTGGTGATTCCTGGTAAGAGCTGGGTCGTGGGGAATGGTGGTCAAGTGAAATTTTGGACAGACCGTTGGCTTTTTAATAAGATCCTATCGGAGGAGGCTACTGGACTGTTACCGCAAGGGTATGAATTACTGAGGGTAAGGGACTTATGGAGGGATGGGAATGGTTGGATGTTGGATAGAATTACACCGTATGTGTCGGAGAACACTCGGTTGGAGTTGACAGCAGTGGTGGTGGATACAGTTACGGGAGCTCGGGATCGTTTATCTTGGAGTGAGAGTGTTGATGGGAACTTCTCGGTCAAGTCAGCATATTCTTTGCTCACAAGGAATAGTGATCCGCGACCAAATCTAGAGAAATTTTATAGCCGTATCTGGAAGGTGACGGCGCCGGAGAGAGTAAGAGTGTTTTTGTGGTTGGTTGGTAATCAAGTCCTTATGACGAATGCTGAACGGAGTCGCAGGCATTTGAGTAACTTCGATGTTTGTCAAGTGTGTAAAGGTGGAGTTGAGACGATTCTCCATATTCTTAGAGACTGTCCGGCTATGCAGGGTATTTGGACACGGATTCTGCCCTCGCGGAAGAGACGAACCTTTTTTGATAAATCTCTGCTGGAATGGGTGTGATAATTTGAGTGATGAGAAAGAGCATTATGAGAGCACGTGGGCTACGGTGTTTGCTATGGCAGTGTGGTGGAGCTGGAAATGGCGGTGTGATAACGTGTTTGGTAACGATAGGAAGTGTAGGGACCGGACTCGTTTTATCAAAGAGGTAGCAAGGGATGTTACTCGGGCTCATAAGCTGCATAGCGGAGTTGGTACATCGGGGGGTCAAGCTGAAGTCTTAGTTGGATGGGTGATGCCAATGAATGGTTGGCTTAAGCTTAACACGGATGGAGCCTCACACGGGAATCCGGGTTTAGCTACAGCGGGAGGAGTTTTGCGGGATGAGCATGGCGGTTGGTGTGGTGGCTTCTCACTTAATATAGGTCGTTGCACGGCACCGCTCGCGGAGCTATGGGGCGTCTACTACGGCCTGTATATAGCCTGGGAGAGGCGGATTACGCGGTTAGAGCTGGAGGTGGACTCGCAGCTAGTGGTTGGTTTTTTGAGGACAGGGGTGAGTGAAAAGCATCCGCTGTCGTTCCTGGTATGTCTGTGCCATGGCTTTCTATCGAGGGACTGGATAGTCCGTATTTCGCACGTGTATAGGGAAGCTAACCGTCTCGCGGACGGGTTAGCTAACTATGCGTTCTCTTTGCCTCTTGGCTTTCACTTTTTTGATGTTGTTCCGAATGATATTGATTCACTTTTGAGTGATGACGTTATTGGGTCTACGCGCCCAAGACGAGTCCGTTTGTAAGTTATTTTATTTTTAATAAATGGGAGACATAGTCTCCCTCTTCTTACCAAAAAAAAAAATCTAGTAAATCGCCTAAGAACCGAACCAAACTAACCGATCGTCGAACCGGACTGAAACTGGTTTATGTTTTTTTCGGCAAATTTTCTCCTAAACAGAAGAATTGAAACCGAACAAACGGTTTTTAACTTTTTTTCCTCATTCGAATTTTATTTTTTGAGAATAAATTTATTTTTACAACTACTTTTGTTCATTAATAAGAAAATCATTTCTATTTCCAGTTAGAAAAATTCCCAAAAATAAACAAATTTTTGTATTAAGTTTTAGAAACGTACAAAACAAAATTTAGAACCCAAAAAATACAAAGGCCAAATTTGTTCTAATTTGATATATACAAACATGCATTAATAATCATTTTTTTTGTATTTTGATACGCGAGTTTTCGTACGAGTTGATGTGTTAAGTAGTTGAACCCCTCCGGCCTCCCAAAAAACACATAACTGGAAATAATCTTTTATTTATATAAGAGCAAGTAGAAGCGGTACACAATCTTGGGACCGATAATCTTCTACGACACATACACACAGGCCCGGCCCAAGGCTAAAGCCCGTGAAGCTAGGGCTTTAGGCAGCAGGAATCTATAAATAAACTTAGGGGCATCATTTTGCAAAAAGATGTTGCAGGATAGTGGTTAAGTCTCTCCTTTACCCCTTCCTGGTCGCGAGTTCAACTAACAATTGCCTAACTTTTGGTAATATTTTTTTCAACTGTTTTTGTAAGGGCTTAAATTTTTTTTTTGCTTTAGGCACTATATTATATCGGGCCGGCCCTGCATACACAAACCGGAAGTAGCTTATTAAAATGCTAAGACAAGAGTCCAGCAAATTTATTACACATAGACGATGATAAGTGAAAACGGGAAAACAATGCACACACTCAAACTTGGATGTAGTATCACCATATGGATATGCTTCTTTAGGCAGTTTCAACTGCAGTAGTAGAACCCTTGGTGCAGAGAGTAGAACATGCCTTGGTGCATTTTTCAACCGCTTCATTTACAATTTCAGTTGCGCCTAGTCACCAAAAGAAATATAAGAAATCATTTAATGGATTATTCTCTTGTTTACTACATATGCCAAAAAAAAGATAAATATAATAAGTTTGGGGAATTCAATTTGTTTTACCAGAGTTTTGGAGAGTGGTTAAGGCACCACACACAGAGGATGCACACCCCAAGTTGCAATATTCATTGATAGCATCACCTTAAGTCAAAAATTATAATCCATGCATCAAAAATGAAATTTCCATCTATATCTTATAGCAAATTTAACTTAATAACAAGTTGAATATATCTCTGTCAACACCATTTGGAGACCAGAGATCACCTTTATTTCTCTTGTCAGTACGGTTCAAAAGTATGGGCAGCTCTAGCAAAGGGACTTCTAAAAGCAAGGTACACAACGGACTGGTCACTCATCCTCGACTACGTTTCAAACCACCGACTCGAACGCGTAGAAGGATTCCTCATTCGATACGTTCTTCAAGTCGCAGTCTACATGATATGGAAGGAACGGAATGGGAGAAGACATGGGGAGAGCCCGCAATCGGAAGAGTGTCTAATAGCATGGATTGATAAGCAAGTAAGGAATCGGATTTCGGCGATTCGCATCCAAGGTGACATGCGATTCGAAGCAGCCTACCAAACTTGGATCAAAGCTCGTCTTTAAGATACTTTCTATTGGAAGGTTTTAAAAACCTTTTTTCTCGGCCTTTCTCTTTAAGCCAACCGGTGCACAAGTTGTAAAAACGTTTAATTTTTTCTTTTGAATATAATTTAACATTAAATTCAAAAAAAAAAAAAAAAAAAAAAAGAATATACCAGAATTTGTTAGAATATCATTGTAATAACCCGGAGGACATCTCCCAGAAGTTATTTTGCAGCCACTGCCATTTGCACATGTTTTCTCGGAGGTTCCCGCTATATGACAAACAGCATAGAGACCTCTAGCGCTCTGTGTAGGACAGCAAACCCTTGCTTCTACTTGAATCTGCGCCAAGACCAAACTCATTATGAACACACTTAAAATCATAGTTTTGTATTCCATCTTTTGATTAGTTTCTTCTTTGATCGAAAAAGTAAATAGTGGAAACACTTAAGCTTGTTTGTTGATGAAATGTTGATGATACTAGACTCGCTTAAATACTAGCTAGTTGCTCTACAATATGCCACTAGAAACTTCATTTATTTAATGCTCAATGATGAGTAGTTAAACTAGGCCATACTTTAAGCCATTTTACACAATCTCTGCCACATCCTTCACGGACCACCTTAATAATATTGCACCTACTGGTGCCTAACGAGCAATCTTTCAAATTAATGGCATTCGTCTAGAGAATTCTTCTTTTGAAAAAATTGATAAGGAAAATAAAAAATTCAAAAATATGTAGGTTATTTCTTTAAAAATATGTAGATCCATTTTTTTCTTAACTTTAATGCTAAAACCTTAGTTTTGTTTTGGTTATTAACATATTTTATTGAAATCACTATATATTTTGGTTTAGCAAAATAAATATTTGTAAGTTATGTTTATAACGTACTAACAGTGGTTTTTATGTAAGTTATGAACATTTCATTCGTTTCTGGATCATACGTTATGCACTTATATGCTGTAAACAGTTTGAATTGAGAATAGAAAATATAACCATGCTTACCTTACGTCTATCAAGGACCTTCGTCTATTCGGATTACATGTCAATTCCTTATCGCAAACATATATATTATCTAAGGT